GGCTCGTAGGGGGTTTCCTGCCTTCCAGAGGCAGGGCCCGTGTAATCGACAACAATAAAAGGGATCTATTAAAGTTTATCGTTAATTATAAACGACTGATTTTCCCTGCTATAGCTGGGAGGGTGGGAGCGTCGAGGGAAGTCACCATGCTTTGCTGCCCCCCCCCATTCCTCTCCAATGTGGAGCCCAACCCATTGGCTCACAGGCTCCCCTCTGGCTGCTGTGATCCGAGCAATTTCCCTAAAAGGTTATTTTTGTTCTTGAATCCTGAGCTCTGGGAATTTAATGTTAATCCGGACCACAGGTTGCCTGAAGCGGATAGTGGCAGCAACATTTGAGTGGGGGGGGGGGGCTGCGTTTGTTGTGACCTGCCAAGCCATGACTCATGCAGAGAGTGATCGCAAACAGCGAAACGCAACCCGCTTAATCCCAGCGTTGATTCGCTGAAGGAAATGCAGCGTTTAAACGCTCAAGTCTGCGGGGGGAAATGGAAGAGGATTAGGATGGGAAGCAGGAGGGAGCGGCAGGTGGCAGCAAAATGTGTGTGGGGTATTGCGAGCTATATACGGGGCCCTCTCTTACGAATAATTTGGCGCTTTACGTGCCATAAAAATTACACGAGCAAACCTTTCCCTCTAGCGGTGTGAAAGGGACGGCCGTGGAAATGGAAGGTCACTCGCCATTGGGGCCGCCCTCTACAGAGATTGCCGCTGAAGGGATATGCCCTTGACCCTAACTTTGAAGTGTCAATTCTTCTTGTCCTCTCACCACTCCTCCCGTCTTCCACTCACTTAAAAATGGTGTCATGTCCCCTTTCCGTCTTTGCCACCCTGGTCTTCGCGTACATGACACAAGCGGCACCGTTGGCATGACGGCGGAAGTCGAGCGCGGGCCCCACGGTCTGTCCCGTGGATGTCATTTGGGTTTATGTAGGACACAAGCTGGCGCCACGTGCGCACCAACAGATTGTTTCGACGACGGCACGTCACGGAAAAGCATGTGCGTGCGTACGCACACTCACATGTACCAGATTACACTCGCGGTACCCGCGCGTGTATGTGCACGTGTGTGTACGACTGACGGAGAGAGACGACGGGAGGGAGAGGGAATACCTTACATAAAGGACATTTTCACGAGCAGTGTTAATCCGTCGGACGGGACGAGGGATCTTAGCGCATCAGATGGAGAGCGGGAAAGAGCAGCTAAACCGACACCGGCAAATATATTTCTACTAAAATTCATCGATGTTGTTTCATTTGAAGCCGAGATATCCTGACTCTTCGTTGTCTCATGCGACCGTGGCCCCAGCACGTTGGATTAATCTTCAAGTGTGTGAAGACTTGGGTCCAGCCAGAAGCCTTCCGTCCCTCCTGACAGCTCGACCTTTGTCTTCAGGAGAAGAGAAAAGACGTTGTTCACGGCGGGGCTGCTCAGATGCTTCATTTCGCGTGGGGATTTCCGTCGTAATGCTGTGGTAGTGTGTGTATGAAGAAGGTGTACGTGTATAGTTGTGTAGGTGCGTGTGCTGTTCTGACTTAAAAGCGCAGCCAGAGTCACGAATTGAGGCAGCTCTCACTCTGCCCATCAGGTGAAGTCGGCGTTCGTGCTTGCAGATTGTTACTTTCCGCTATTCACCCTCGTCAAGTCGGTTCGTCACAAGTTCACGAAGAGCAGCGAAAAATGGCAGCGGCGGCGGCAATCGAGAAACAAAAAATCCTTCTGTCTAGAAAACCGTGGCCCGCTCTCGGAAAACCGTGCCGCCGTTTTGCATCTTCCTGCAAGCGCTCGTTTACCGCTCGATCCAATCCGAGCCGCTGGTGCGTTTAGCTAAACCCCCCGAAGAGTCGGCGACTGGAGACGCATCCTCGGCAAAGTATCCGTGGCGCGCGGGGCCGCGCACGCCGCGGAATGTTCCAAGCACGGTGCCAGGAGCCCATTGTCATCACGGACTGGGGCCTGCCGCTCGCCGCTGCACTGCTGGTGCTGTTGCTCATCTACGCCTTCCTCTACATGCCGGCGCACATGCAGCAGCTCATGCTCAACGAGGGGGCCAAGCTGGCCAACGGGAGCCGCGCTGGTGGCATCGATGCCGGCGCCGCACCCGGAACGCCGTGAGGCGATCGGGTTCGTTGAAGGTTTACCGCTCGCTGATTCTCACTGCCGTCACTCGCTCAGCTGCAGTCAGTCGTCTACGTATCACTACAACTCTGGTTACCATTCCCGTGAACTTCTCTCCTGAGGATTCGGTCTACGGTGTTGTTTCTTCTGTCTGCTTCTTCTTCCCTCGAACTGCTCGAATTTTAATTCCCCCCCCCCCCCCATCGCCTCTTTACCCAAGTCCTTATACCCTTGCCGATATCAAGAAATGCATTCGCTCTTCGTCTATTACGCCGGCAACGGTGCTCTCTTTGTTGCTGGCCGCTTGGAATTTTTGTGGCCATTCGGGCCCGTGCTCGGAAGCTGTGATTTAAAACAAAACCGAAGCGGTGAGGTGACGGCGCGGCCGGCGTACGGGAACCCTTTGGGCTGTGACAATTACTCTCGCTCGTCTGGACTCGCAGGCAGTGGCGTTGTCCTGCTAGCGAGAATGTGGCGTTTTCACCCTCACAGGGTTTTGTTGGGATCATTGAGGAACGTCTTATTGTGCTCAGTGGTGTGGTGGTATTTTTTTTGTGTGCGCGTAGTGCTAGAGTTGGGGGTCTGGGGACCTGTATTAAGAGTCCTTCCAGATACGGAAACGTTTCTTAAAATGGATTAGCCAGTCATCTTTCCGCAGAACTCATCGTATAGAATAGTTTTGTCTTTTTCCCCTAATTTTATACTGATTGTGATTTGTGGCGTCAATCATGAGACCAGGTCACTATTGAAAATGAGACTCACCCTGGTCACTTGAGTCTCACCTTGATAACCACTTGGATATTTTCTCAGAGCAGTACAACCCTTAGTATTAGAGAGCATCCCACTGAAGCGGATATCAGAACTGCCTCAAAGGACCCTTGAGGGAAGCCGTTACCCATTTGTTTGTGACATGACGGTCAAACTATATTTAATTCTCAGAGCTGACATTCAGCCAAATTAGGTGCAGAAGAAATATAGCTTAATGGATTGTTTTCTGAAGTATTGGTCCTGGGCCTGTAACATCAACTCGTCCACTTGAGAAAATGGTATAATAATCACAGGCGACCGCCTGGATTCGAACACAGGACTCTGGGCCTCTGATCACTGCTTTAAAGGGTGTTCAGCCAATGCTTACCCAGATAACTAAATAACATTTTTATTTATTTTTGAAATAGTTCCAAATTTGTTATATTCCGATTTCCAAAACGGTTGGTTAATTTCGGATTTTGTTTGATGCCGCACGCACGCCTTGTTTTTACCGACTTGTTACCACGTGCCGACAAGCTCACACCGATTCCATCGATTTATCGCCATGCCTGTCGGTGCGTGCGCAGCAACATGGAGGCGGTGGCACGCTACCCGAGCCTGCCCCAGCGCAAGCAGCTGTCATACCAGATGCGGCAGCTGATAGCGCGCGAGGTGGAGTTGGAGCGGATGCGGCGCACAGAGGCCGCGGCGATCGCACGCAACTCGACTGAGGTGAGGGGCGCATGCCCATCTCCGCCACTGCCTGCTCACGTTTTTCTGACATTGTCACTCTTATATGTCTGCCACTGTCGCATCCTTTCTACCATCTTCTTGGTTCTTTCGGTAAAGTCACGTAGAAGGGAAATAATAAAATAATAAAAATTAAACATAATAAATTTATTCTCACGACGTTTCGGCCACAACGCAAGCAGCTGTCCTCAGGTGAAGAACAGGTCTGTCGGGGAGACAGCGTCTGAATGAAACACCACCACCAGACGCTGTCTCCCCGACAGACCTGGTCTTCACCTGAGGACGGCTGCTTGCGTTGTGGTCGAAACGTCGTGAGAATTATTTTATTGGTTTATTATTTTATTATTTCCCTTCTACGTTACTTACGAAGAACCAAGAAGATGAATCCCTGC